GGTCGAAAGGCTTAGGGGAGTGGATGGCTGCTGGGTTCTGTGGCGAGGGGATGGTGTATGCTTGGCTTTGCGGGACGGCGTTGGCGGTTATGGTTCTTGGTAAGGAGGGGGAGAAGTTGGTAGAGGGTGTTGGGAGACCGGGGGGACGGTTGGAGGAGTGGTTTCCGGGGGATTTGCTGGGGGTTGATAAGGAGAGGTTGAGGAGGGCTTATATTGCTAATGCGGCCGAGTTCTTTGAGTAGATGATGAAGCAATAAGATATGGATGATTTACTGGTTCAGCTGAGATTGTGGTCTGTGATGTGGCGTGGTGTGGATTGAAGGGTTGACGGCTGTCTGCCAGTGCAAGCTAAGGCTGCATGCATCACCACTTTCATCTCACGTGTGATTGACATACATCACTTCTTATCAATGCACATCTTCATTTATTAATACAGCCTCTTTCTTTCGGTTCCCTCTCTTCACCTTCACCTTCACTCTTTTCCAAGCGTTGCAACTCCGTCCTTTTTGACAACCAAGCTCTAGCAACTTCATTCCTCCTCATTCCAATGTCACTCCTCAGCATGATGCCCCAAGAGCGCATAGACTCATGGCGTCAACGCGTTCCAAGCCGTATGGACCGCGACGATCCCTTCGAAGGAGACCACTTCGACGAACGACCCCCCACACGCCTCGTACATCTCCCCCTGGCAATCCTCCTCTCTGCAATATTAACCTTGTCACAGACATTTCGTGATGTTTCTCCGCCTGAGGCTAGGCCTTCTACGCGATTGGGCTTCTTCCGTGCTGCTACGCCTATGTTCGGACGTAGTTCTACACCTTCTTCTCCTCGACCTGCTTCAAGCATGATGCAACGACGCGCGGAGGGGAAGCGAAGGAGTTTGCTGAGCTTGCTTACTCGCAAGAGGAAGAGAAAGGAGCCGGAGGAGATTCCGAGGGATCCTGTCCGTTTGAACTTTTTGTTCGTTGGGAGTAAGGCCGCGGGTCAGACGTCTTTGCTATTGTGAGTTTCCAAAGGTTTGCGTTATTGTATCCGCTAATATTGGACAGTCGATCTCGCTATGGATACTTTCCTGATGTGAGTTAAGAGCCAACTCGAGTGAGTTAATGCTGAAATTGTATAGTCCAGTGCATTCTCTCGCCCTTTATATGAGACCTACGTCAACGAACGAATCTACCACAATCAGCCTGTGCGCATGGAGTTATAGGACACCTCTGGCGTACCGGACCTGAACGTTGTCGAAAGGTTGACCTACATCGAATGGGACGCTGTGTTTCTCTGCTTCGACATCTCGGATAAGATATCCATGTACACCATCATCCAATGGGTAAGCTCAGCATTCCGCTGTTCACGAAACAAAACTAATTGAGTAGTGGCATCACGCTTCGAGCCAAGGCTTCACCAAATCTGCAAGTTTTGCGCCATTGCTGTATCTCGTCGGCTTAAAGAAGGATCTTCGCGATCAGTGCTTTTTGGAAGATCATCAAACTGGTTCTGCGTTCTCGTCCTCTGGACTGTTGGCGTATCCGACTTGCTGCATCTGCTCATCAGAGGTAGGTCCCCCAGATCCATTCTATAGATTAATTACGTTCTGACCTGTTTAGGCAACCTGGCAGGCCACTCGAATTGGAGCACATAAGTACATCGAATGCTCGGCTGCGACTGGTGAAGGGATGAAGGAGGTTATTGATGACTCCGGAAGAGAGGCGATGAGGAGACTTGTTGGAGGGCAAGTGCCTGAAGACGAGGTTATTCCCAAGAAGAAACGTCGCTTCTTCTGAAGTGTTTGAGTACTGGAATGGTTCGACTGTCAAGTGACAGTTGGACTCTTGCTTGATGGTTGCTGAAAGGGCTGTGTTGAAGAGAACGTTGTAATGAGGATACACATCTGGACTCAAAAGTTTTGGGCGTCTTTTTTCTCTTGCTTGTTTTTTTTAAAGCAGCGGCTATCAGATGATCTGGTAAAGATGTGCTCTGGAATTACACTGGCTTATATGAAGATGAAGGGATGTAGCTCAGCAAGATTGAACCTTGAATGGTTGATCCAGGGTAGTTCAATTCAATGGTAAGTCAGTTCAGCAACTTCATGAGTCCATTCTTTGTAGTAGTGACAGCTATAGATTTTATTCTGAGGTCATGAAAGATTTACAGTGCTTGATATTCAATGGCACTGCATATGGCTAGTTGTTTTTGGTGTGCCCGTATGCATTTTAACTAATACATACCTCAGTCTCTTTCATTAGATGGGATGGCTGCTGTGCTGCCAGTGGCACCAGCAACTTACACTGTCAACCTCATCACCTCCAAAAGTGCCAGTGCCAGTTGCACGACAAATGAAAAAAAAAAAAAAAAGAGGCGAAAACAAAGTCCGTTCATTCATTTAAGCTCCTAAATTCTTTACCTTTCAGAGATTTTATTTTGGTCTCTTGATTTAACACCTACATGAATTTGGACTCAGACGCGAAAATACCTAAAGGCCCACCTGTCAAGATCAACCTCAACCTCTCACTTCACCATACGAGCATCTACCATCAGGAGTGCTCAACGCAAACATGGTGATGCTTATCGTCGCCGCAGGCGTAGGGCTTGCGATGGGCTCCCTTGCCGCGCCCCGACCGCTCGTGGCATTTCTCTTTGCCATGTCCATCTACATCGTCACCCTTCTCATTGTATTCTCTGTAAGCCAAATCCACCACCGAAACCCAACCTCACACTGACAAAACCAAGGCTCTTCATATTCGACTGGTCAAGCGGCGCCGCAGAACAGTGAGCAGAGAACTGTCTTCTGTGAACCAACGTCGCACTCCTTATGGCTATTCAGCGTTTGTCATGGGTAGTGGTGGTCACACGAAGGAGATGCTTTTGGTATTTTTTCCCTGTCTCACGACGGTCTAGACCCAGCTCACGTTCCCTAGATGATGGATGATGGCTTCTGCAATTTTGATGGTTTTCATCGACGGTATATAGTCTCTTCTGGAGATACCATGTCGGAGGATCATCTTGAAGATTACGAAGCAGACCTGAAGACACTGTGTGCTGCGGAGGGAACAAACCCAGGAGCATACGACGTTTTCACCGTCACTCGTGCACGCCACGTTCACCAATCACTCCTGACTACCCCTTTCACGGCCTTTCTCAGCATGGTCAGCATCTTCCCGGCTCTGTTGACTCCGCCACCCAAGATCAATGGCGCCGAGCTTGCATATCCCACCTGTATCTACTCCAACGGACCGGCGACTGGCTTCTTTGTCGGCCTGGCAGTGCATCTTCTCAAGCTACTGGGCAAGATACCCGAGAACTCAATGCACTTCATCTACATCGAGTCTTGGGCACGTATCAGCACCTTGAGCCTCACGGGCAAACTCTTCTACTACACTGGCATCGCGGACGTTTTGGTACAGCACCAAGAAGTTGCTGATAAGTATGGACTTAGAAACTGTGGCGAGATGGTCTTCAACGCTAGACGACCTGATGTCTCATCAACAGATGATAAGATGATGGGTTGAGACCCCAATCCAAGAATCTCTTGGAATATGCGTTTCTGCTTTTTGATACAGACAATAAAGGTTACATGGTTTGTGTACATGACGGGTATCATCCGCCCTCCCTGAAATAATGCTATCAAGGTGATTTCTTGCCCTCAGCAGCCTCGGCCTTTTCCTCTGGCTCTGCATCCTCTGCGATATCCTCCTCCGCCTCATCAAGACCAAAGTCCTCAATTTCCGAGTTGCGACTCGCCTCTTGTCGCTCCGTCTCCTTTCCAGCCCAGATCTTCCAGTTCTCAAACTCTCGGTCCTCGAGATGGTGCGATACATCAATGCGGGACTTGCCAAAGTAGGCGCCCACGTGCTTGGCTTCCTCGAGGGCCACTCGCTTCTCGATCTCCTCTTCTTGACGTAGACGGTAGAATTCGCGGCGTGTGATATCGTATGCCTTTCGCTTCTCGAGTTTCTCGTTCTCCATCAACCATAATTGTCGTTGAACAACACTAGAACAATGTTAGCTTGATCCCTATCAGACCACAGATCCAGAGCAAACTTGCCATTCACCCGTTAAGGGAATATTAGGCTGTTTCAAACCCTTGCTCCAATCGCAGTGCTGGTAATCCTTTCCGTCCGACTCAAGAATAACACGAGGTCTCGCCAACTCCCAAGGATGATCTCGATAGAACGTTGCCCGCAGCCTATCCTCAATATACACTATCTCTTGAGGTCGATAGAGGTTCTTTGGCTTTGTCACTCTGGATGTCGGGCCCCTTATGCGGGGGGTGACGTTTCGAACGAGTGTCTCGGCAGGAGGGACGGATTGCATGATGTTGTACCATGGCGGCGTGGGGATGGATTTGCCTCCGAGGACGGTGTGGTTGAGCTCTTCGGTGACTGTTTGTAGGACCCTTGCGGGTCGGATCTGTCTGCCTCCCATGGTCTATTCTGCGGCGGTGTCAGTAGGGCTTCAATTGGGTATGGCGATGTTAAGGGAGGCGGCCTTACGGTAGCAATTGACGCTCTGATTGGGAGTAATGCCACGCGGGACCTGGCTTGAGCCGCAATGTCGTGGTGATGAGTGGAAATTTTGGAGATGCATCGGTAAATCTTAACGCCGGGTGGCATGTTGACAATAAAGATCAGACACCATCAGGGTGGAATTATAAGCTCATACTCAAATATTACTTCTAGATAGAACATACAACAGCACTTACGTTAATTTATAATAGCTTAAGATATGGTACTATTTGAAATTAAATAATTATCTTGTGCACTCATGAACTCTCTCACCTTTCTTTGCTTATCGCTTACATCTTATACGATACAGTGCCGCTTTTATTTTCACCCTTCATCTGGGGTATCTCCCCACAGCTCAGCGCGAATGACAGTGCAGCAAAAAACATCTCCAAAAGGTCCCACTTACAAGAACAAGCCTCCCGTCTCAACTTCCGCTGGCATTAGCTCTTCCTGAGAGAGATTGCCGATCCGATTTCTTTCTCAGTGCCATTTTCTTGTTCAATCTACAGTTCGAGACAAAATATCGCTCCGGCTACGAATCAGAAGTCGCAGCATCATGAGGAGGAGCTCATGAAAGTCTCTAGTCGATTAGACGGCTCCCTCTGTGCGGTGCTTTCGAACCGACCGTCGGCCAGTTTTGGGGTTACTACCACAAGGAGGAGTCTCTGCACTGTGAGAGAGGTTGGAAAAGAGACGCAAAGGAGAAGATTAAACTCGAGATCCCCGTCCTCTTGTTCCAAAAGCTCACTATGGCTTCTCTCGACCTTTTCGCCCGCTACCGAGGCTCGACGTGCCTTGCCTTGCCGTCGCTCCCGACCTGTCCTGAACAATTATAGCACCGCTTCCGCTGCCGCCGCACCGATACCTCCGATAAATCAGAGATTCCATACCCAGTATGGTCACGATCCTCGACACCTCATGGCCCTTGTGCCACAGGCAGATGCGGGAACGGTTGAAGAGCACTTGGAGTACTATCGGGATCCATACCGAAGGGGTTATGCCCCCGCCGACGGCCAGAGAGTTCAAGTGTCGGAAAACAAAAGAGATGTTGAATATCCGACGGAGGATGAGACCTTCAAGGCCGATGAAGAGACGAAAAAGTTGATCGCAAAATTATGCAAAGCCATATCGTACAAGCTCCGCCACCCATACCGAGCAACCCTCGACCCTATATACGACCTGTATCTTCAGCTTCCAGAACCAAGGATGTTGTATCTCACCTGGCCATGGCGGAATAGGTTATTGAAGATTATGGGGTTACCTCCGAAGCGAAACTCAGAGTCGATGCTGCGTTACTTTGCGCTGATCGCTGATGTCAAAACCGCAGGATTGACGCTGCGACGGACTCATTGGAACTATGCCTTGGCTTTTGCAACAAAATATACAGCTCGCGTAACGACGACCGAGATGGATACTGCTTTGAGGTTGTGGCAGGAGATGGAGCGATCACCCGATGTCAAAGGAAACGAAGTTACGTTCAACATTCTTTTTGATGCTGCCTCAAAAACCGGAAATTTTGCTCTCGCGGACATGATCTACAACGAGATGGAAAGCCGAGGTTATCAGTACAACCGATACCACCACGTTAGTCTGATACACTATTTCGGACTCAAGTCGGACTCGAATGGGATTCGAGCGGCCTACAAAGACATGGTTGAGGCTAGTGAAATGATTGACACTGTCGTGCTCAATTGTGTAATATCGGGCCTGTTGCGATGTGGCGAGGAGTCAGCGGCTGAGTTGACATATGAGAGGATGAAGTCCGGTCACGAAATGGCGCCCAATATCCCGGATAGGGACTACGGGATGGGTCGGGTCATTACCAAGGTGTTGATGATGTTTACGAGAATTGGTAAGAAGCATCCCGAGCTTCAACAGCCGTTGCAGAAGCAAATGCAACTCTCACCAAACCTTCACACGTACAAACTTTTCGTCGAGCACTACTCGGTCAAAGTTGGAGACTTGGCCAAGGTGGCGCAATTTCTTGACGAGATGAAGTTCCTCAGGATTCCCATCCACGCGACGATCTTCTTGTCCCTATTCAAAGGATTCTACTCCCATGGTGGCTTTACTGGCTCTGAATGGAGTGAGCAGCGGCTAGAGGGAGTGTTGAAGGCAATGTACCAAGCACGAGACGAAAGCATAAGAGGGTTTACCATCGACAGGTGGTTGGTCATCTGGGCCTTGCGAGCTGCCAAGAAGTGCGGCTCAAATGAGACCGTTATTGAAGTGTATGATCAGATGGAAAAGCGCTGGGACATTCCGCTGGACCGACAGCCGTTCATCGAGTCTATACTTCAGACCATCCTTGACGGCGCAGACATGAAATCGTCGACTGGTCAATGGGACGGCCCGTCGTATCGAAGATATAAAAAAGATGGAACGAGATTATGATGTAACAGTAGATTTTGTACTACCATGTACTTTAACTTAGAATAATACCCCGGGGCTCTAGAGTTCTGTATATACAGATCCGGTTGGCTGGGAACTGCATAGCTAGCGATTGTCATGGCCGTATTTTCACGTATGGTTCGATATAGCTGATGGTCGAACAAATGAAATTTCGAATCAAGAGTCGAGAATGACTGATGTCTATTTCGGATATTTACACCACATTCCACTTCGAGGCTTCCCAGTCTTTCAACACAACAGCAAATCCAATCCGCAGGCGAGTAATTTACTGGGGCTTGTAGGTCTGGTAGACTGCGCAGCTCGTTAGCATCGTGAGTCGGAGAACATCGGGACGGAGGAAACCACGCACCAGCGATGCCGAAGGGAGCGAAGAAGCCGGTGGCCATGAAGGTCCAGTATCCAAGGCCGAACCACTTGCTTCGGGGGTTGAAGGGGATGTTGCTGTAGGCGCCCTCGGGGTAGTGGTAGGGCGAGGACATGCGGGCGCGGGTGGTCTGGAAACCTCGCTTGGTGACCAGAGAGGTCGTGGTTCGGGCGGCGGCGCGGGAGAGCATCTGCGAAGGGGTCAATTCGGTTCGCGAGAGCTGGGAGGGGAGTTGTGAGCTGGTCAATGGCTCGGGGGTAGACGTACCTTGACGGTGAGGAGTGGAGAGTGCGAGATGGAAGCTTGGGGATGTGTCAGTGATGATAGCATCCGAGGTCAGAGATGGTGGTCTGAGGTTTGGAGAACAAAACGCTAGTAGGTCACGTGGGGAGATACTTTGTACTTTGCTGACATGGAATCTCCAATCGGCTGTGATTGGATGGTAAGTTTGGTGACGTCGGTTCTAACCGCAGGGGAGACTCGGCAAGTAAAGATGATACCCTTAACTGTGTGCATTTCTTTAACATATTACATGAACTATCCGCCTAATGTAGAAGAGTAAATACTCTGCAGTCACTGAGATAATGTAAATCTAGTCGTATTTCTACAAACAAACAGATCTGGGCTTAGTTTCTGTCCACTTGACTTACCTTAGCTATTCCCGGTCGCTGTAGACATTCACCGCCCTCAGCTTGTCCAGGGGGATTTTTTTTCTGCCGCAAGCAACCCACTTCCCATCAACCAACTTTTTTTAATCGCCTAGGCCCGTGTACCACGAATTGGGACGATCGATCGATTCCTCGCTCGTGTTGTACTGGACGACAAGCTCACGCCTATTTTTTTCGACGAGCTTTTTCTGCCTGCCTTGCGTACACGAAAAGGCAACATTTTCAATTTTCACATACCAAATTTTTCCTCGAAGGACTAGAACGCGACTCGAATCAGCCACCCGATCTCGATCACTTTTTTCCTGCAGCTAGCGATCGGAAGCCGATCGCGGTAAAACACCGCCCAGCATGGATGAGATGTTTGATGTGTTCGAGGGCAAGGTGGACGCCCCGAGCGCGAGCGAAGATGAGAACGTGCCGAATCGCAAGGGTGACACGAAAAAGAGAAAGGCAAACGCGATAAACGGCGAGAACGGCGATGCTGTGGTGAAAACTGAGGACGTTGACATGGACGCCAAGACCGAGTCTTCAAAAGACGGAGATGATTCTTCTGACGACGAAGATTCTTCGGAGAGCGCCAGTCAGCAGGAGTCCAAGCGGAGGAAGAAGGAGGAAGGTGTTGGTCCTGTCATGACAGATACCTTCCAGACGGCCGAGTCGAGAGAAGTTGCTGGCGCCGCTACTTTCACAGAGCAGGATTCATCACTTGTTTTGTCGCACAACATTCAGCATCAGGTTGCCCTGCCTCCGGATCTAGACTACGAATACGTCCCCCTTTCCGAGCACAAGGCCCCCGAGCAACCCGCGCGAACATGGAACTTCAAGCTCGATCCTTTCCAGAGTCTTTCCGTGGCGTCTATTGAGAGAGAGGAGAGTGTTCTTGTTTCCGCGCACACTTCTGCCGGAAAGACTGTTGTGGCTGAGTATGCTGTCGCGCAGTGCTTGAAGCGCAACCAAAGAGTCATCTACACAAGTCCCATCAAGGCTCTAAGTAACCAAAAGTACCGAGATTTCGAGGCCATCTTTGGAGATGTTGGTCTCATGACTGGTGATGTTACCATCAACCCTACAGCAAGCTGTCTTGTCATGACGACTGAGATTTTGCGATCTATGTTGTATCGCGGTTCTGAGATTATGCGAGAAGTCGCCTGGGTTGTGTTTGATGAGATTCATTACATGAGAGACAAGATAAGAGGTGTCGTTTGGGAAGAGACCATCATCATGCTTCCCGACAAGGTCCGATACGTCTTCCTCTCTGCCACCATCCCCAACGCTTTCCAATTCGCCGAGTGGATTGCCAAGATCCATCATCAAGCTTGTCACGTTGTTTATACCGATTTCCGACCTACTCCCCTACAGAACTACTTCTTCCCCTGTGGTGGTACTGGCGCTCGTCTCATCGTTGATGAGAAGAGCAACTTCAATGAGCAGAACTTCAACAAGGTCATGCAAGAGGTTGAAGAAAAGAAGGGCGCTGACCCTAATGATCCTAATGCTCGCCAGAAAGGAAGGGGCAAGAACAAGAAGACTGACAAGGGTGGCGCTGACAGTGGCTCGGATATCTCCAAGATTATTCGAATGACTATCAAGAGGAAGTTCAACCCCGTTATTGTTTTCAACTTTAGCAAGCGAGAGTGTGAGAACCTGGCTATGAACATTTCGTCACTCAGCTTCAACGACGATTCTGAGAAGGCCATGGTCCGCAAGGTTTTCAACAGCGCCATTGAGAGTTTGTCAGAGGGAGACCGAGAGCTTCCTCAGATTATCAACTTGTTGCCTCTTTTGGAGCGAGGTATTGGCGTTCATCACTCTGGTCTGCTGCCCATTCTCAAGGAGACTATCGAGATTCTCTTCCAGGAGTCTTTGATCAAGGTTCTTTTCGCAACTGAGACCTTCTCCATCGGTCTCAACATGCCTGCCAAGACTGTTGTTTTCACCCAAGTTACCAAGTGGGATGGTGTCAAGAGACGCCCTCTCACTTCATCCGAGTACATTCAGATGGCTGGACGTGCTGGTCGTCGTGGTCTTGATGCTCGAGGTATTGTCATCATGATGATTGACGACAAGCTTGAGCCCGATACCGCCAAGGAGATTGTTACAGGTCACCAAGATCGACTCAACTCTGCTTTCTACCTCGGTTACAACATGATTCTCAACCTTCTACGTATCGAAGCCATCTCTCCCGAATTCATGCTCGAGCGATGCTTCCATCAATTCCAGAACGCGGCTAGCGTCCCCTCTTTGGAGAAGGAGTTGATGTCGTTACAACAGGAGCGCGACAACACCAGCATCCCCGACGAGTCCACGGTCAAGGATTACTACCAGATTCGACAGCAGCTCAGCGCTTACACTAAGGATATGCGCACTGTTATCCAGCACCCCAACTACAGTCTTTCTTACCTGCAGCCAGGCCGCTTGGTGCAGATCTACAACCCCAAGGACGAGAACGAGACTATTACTGGAACCGGAACCGACTTTGGCTGGGGTGTTATCGTCAACCAAACCCCTCGCCGCGCGCCCAAGATGGGTGAACTAGATTATGCCCCTCAGGAATCCCATGTCATTGACGTGCTTCTTCCCATCTCCCGATCGAGCGCGGATTTCTATCCTACTCAGCCTGTGGAAGATGCCCCTATGCCCGTTGGCCTCAAACCTTTTGGCGATGACGACGACGACGTCAAGTTCGCTGTTGTCCCTTGTCTTCTAACCTGCATCAAGGCTATCAGTCAAATTAGGCTTTTCCTGCCCAAGGACGGCCTCAGAAATGATTCAGAAAAGGAGACGCTCACAAAGTCTTTGATGGAGGTCAAGCGTCGCTTTCCCGACGGTCTGCCTGTTCTGGACCCCATCGAGAACATGGAAATCACCGACGACTCGTTCAAGAAGCTCCTTCGCAAGATCGAAGTCCTTGAGTCCCGACTTTTGGCTAACCCTCTTCACCTCTCGCCTCTTCTTCCTGCTCTCTGGGACCAGTACCACGCCAAGGTCAAGCTCACCGAGAAGGTCAAGGAGACCAAGAAGGCCATCGCCAAGGCGTACAGCATCGCTCAGATGGACGAACTCAAGTCTCGCAAGCGTGTGCTGCGACGTCTCGGCTTTATTAACGATTCTGAAGTCGTCCAGCTAAAGGCTCGCGTTGCTTGTGAGATTTCCTCCACTGAAGGACATGAGTTGCTTCTCTCTGAATTGCTCTTTGACAGATTCTTCAACGAGCTTACTCCTGAGATGTGTGCTGCCGTCATGAGTTGTTTTATCTTTGACGAGAAGATCGAAACAACCCAGCTCAAGGAGGAGTTATCGAAACCTTATCGTGAGATTCAGGCCAAGGCTCGCATCATTGCCAAGGTCAGCCAGGAATGCAAGCTTGAGGTCAACGAGGAGGAATACATCCAGAAGCTCAAGTGGCAGCTGATGGAGACGGTCTACGCATGGGCCCAAGGACGTCCTTTCATTGAGATTTGGTAAGTCATCCTTTTATTTCACTACAGCAAGGTTACTAACACACTCCAGCAAAATGACAAAGGTCTACGAAGGCTCTCTGATCCGCCTCTTCCGTCGTCTAGAAGAGCTGCTTCGTCAGATGGGCCAGGCCGCCAAGGTCATGGGCAACGACGATCTAACGAAGAAGTTTGAGGACAGTTTATCCAAGATCCGCAGAGATATTGTGGCCGCGCAGAGCCTGTACCTATAAAACGGGGGAAATATCATGTAATGTGCATTTTTTCTATATGTTTCACCGGCTTGGGAGTCTGGCGTGTTGGGGTGGAAAAAAAGAGTTGTAGTATACTTTGAGCTCGAGGGATTAGGAATAAACCTATGCGAACCTTGGTCAAAGTGATTTATAAATTAATAGAGATGGAGATACGAGGAATACGGCATGGAAGGTTACAGAAATTGCGATGCCTTCGTTATGCATACTCAAGCTTCGGTTGAGGTTGTAGGTAATGGAGCTTACCAGAATTCATACCACTTATTAGGAGCCGATTAAGACCCAGGACAAGTAACGAGATGCGTGGGTTTGATCGCTGTTGTGTATTCTGTCTGTTTCTCCTGCCCTTAAGAGCAGTATATAGAATACGTGTAAAGCCATAACGCCACCCATCCGCTGTAACCCATGCTTTGGCATGACAACGCCCAAAGTCAACGCCTGAAAACTCGATACCCCCAAGCCAAACATAATATCACCGTTGAAGCACTGAGCACCATCCGGAGCGTTTCAAGGCTCTACTAAGGCCGGTCTCCAGACAGCTCCATGATGAAACCAATAAAAAGACTAAAGACAACACCAAAGCCAACGAATATCTGCCATCTCTTACTCCAGATACCCTCCTGGCGCATTAGCCATGCCAGGCTTCCAAGCGGGAAGAAGAATCCGACTATCATGGCTTTGATTAGTATTTCGAGTACGGAAGCCATACCGGAGTTTTCGTCCTCGAGTGGATTGGACCCGGAGGGGATGCCCTCAGCGTTGTTGTCGATCCATGCGTCTTCCATGTTGCGCAGGGTGTCAGGGGATGGCATAGCATCTGGTGTGAAGCGCGCTGTATGAATTGAAGTAAACTGTGTTCGCAGTGTTGCGATTTCTGAAGGCGAAAAGCCAGACTGCAGCAATCGATCAAATCCCCGTGGTCGCGGCCTCGTTGAAGTCGTAGGTTTCGAACCATCACCAGTCGTTTCCTTCGGCGGCTTAAGCGCCTCCTCCTCTTCCTTCTTCAACTCCTCGCTCGACAACTCATCACCAACGGAGCAATTAACATAGACCCGCGCCAAATTCGCACCCTCGACAGCCTTGCCTTTCCCCTTCGGATCATCATTGGTGCGCGGCGGCGGAGGATGTGGTTTGAGGACTGAGCTGAGCGCTGAGGCATCGGGGAGGATATGACCTTGGTGAATGAGGCGTAGGCGACTTTTGGATGATAGTCGTGTGCGGAGGAGGTGTTTGAGAGCGAGGACGGTTGTTGTTTGGGGGGAGGGAATGTCGAGTTCGAGATCTGGGAAGGATGTTGTGAAGCGGATTGTGAGATGGAGGGGAGGGGGGAGAGGGTGGGATGATGAGGCTTGAGAGGTCATGATGATGGCATTGGTTGGGAGTTGATGATGAGATTGTATGATGTTCTCAATGACGGAGTGAGTGGGAGTAAAGTTGTGAGATGATACAATTGGATATGTGTAACATGTAGCAAACAAAGCTGAAGTTGAGTGAAGTGAAGCTGGG